CTACTCAGCCTCCTGAGTAGCTAGGATTACAGGCATGAGCCATGGGTGCCCAGCTAGTGAGACTTTTATATACAGTTTAAAACAACAAAAAGCCAGAAGTGAAGCTATGTCTCAAGTGGAAGAATGCAGAAGAGTGCTAGCCTTGAACAAAAAAAGCTAAGGTATAGCACCCAGACTTTTGAGTTCAAGCTCTAGGACACAACCCCCGCTCCCTGCACCCTCCCACCAACACACACATAAACCTTAATGAAAATTTAATTGGATTGGTTTAATACCAGAGAAGGAAAGAAAACTACAATAAGCTTCAATAGGACTGAAGCATGGAGAAGAATATAAAGCATTAGAAAAAAATTAGGTAGAGCTTCATTAACCTGTGGTACCAAGTACATGTAGAACTGGAGACTCAGAAAAGAGATGGAATGGGGAAAAAAAGGCAAATATTTTAATTTGATGAAAAGTACAAATACAAAGATTTAAGTGGGATCTACTATGGGAATTATTTGTTTGAGGAACATTTGTTCTGTAAAGCATTTTCTTTTCTTTCAAAGGAGTACTGAAAGAAAGAACTTCTTGACACAAAAAAAATTCCTTACAGTTAGACAAGCTGTGCTGAGGATATAACTAAGAACATGGGGCAAAGTCCTTTCTGTAGGTGAGCAGAGAGAAGACATTTCTCTGCCAGTAAGGGTGTTGTGTGTTCTTATTTTGGTGGTCTATTATTATGTAATAGTAGGTAAAATGATGATTCTTTTAGTCATCTAGACTCTTCTAGTTTTTATCACTATTAGCTTAGGATAAAAGGGATAATTAAAATACCAATATCATTAATTACAGAATTAGAGAAATAAATTCAAAAGTTCATAAAGGACCCAAAGTGGCAAACATAGTACTAAGAGTAAGGTTGAAGGTATCACAATACCACACTTCAAATTATACTACAGAGCCACAGTAACAATAATAACATGATACTGGCACACAAAAAAAGACCTGAAGATTAATAGAACAGCATATAGGACCCAGGGATAAAACCACACAGCTACAGCTAACTAATTTTTTTGACAAAGAAGCCAAAGCACACTGGAAAAAAAGATGATTTCTTCAACAAATCATGCTTGGAAAACTGGGTGTTACAAGATCTCTCACCTCCTACAAAATTCAACTCCATTTGGAACAAAGCTCAAGAGCTCAAGCCTCCATACTAGAAAAAAAAATCAGTTTAAAGTCTTGAAACTTTAAATCTACTACAGGAAAAGGGAAACACTAGAAATTACAGGTAAATATTTTCTGAATAGGATACCAGTTATACACAGAATGGGAGCAAAGATTTACAGATGGGACTTCATCAAATTAAAGTTGCTGCAGTGCAAAAGACTATCTCCAGAACTAAGAGACAACCCACAGAATAGGAAAAAAATCTAACCACCCAGTCGTAAGAGAATAATAACTAAAAAAAATGAAATGTCTGCTGGGCGCTGGTGGCTCACGCCTGTAATCCTAGCTACTCAGGAGGTTGAGATCTGAGGATCGCGGTTCAAAGCCAGCCCGGGCAGGAAAGACCGTGAGACTCCTATCTCCAATATACCACCAGAAAACCGGAAGTGGCGCTGTAGCTCAAGTGGTAGAGCGCTCGCCTTGAGCTGAAGAGCTGAGGGACAGCACCCAGGCCCAGAGTTCAAGCCCCACGACCGACAAAAAAAATAAATAAAAAAATAAAAAAATGAAATGTCTAGAAAACAAATAATCCAGCTAATAAATGGAAATTGAACAGTTCTCCTAAGAAATGCAAATGGCTAATAGATACATGAAGAAATGTTCAACATCTTCACTCATAAAGAAAATGCATATCAAAACCATACTAAGATTCCATCTCACCCCAGTAAGAATGGTAGTTATCAAGAAAACAAATGCTGGTAAAGATATGGGGGGAAAAGGAAACTTCATACTCTGTTGGTAGAAGTATAAATTAGTATAACCACTATGGAAATCAGTATAGAGGTTCCTCAAAAACCAAAAATAGACCTACCTACGATCCTGCCATTCCACTATTGGGCATATAGCCAAAGGAGAGTAAAGCAATATACAAGAAAGATACCTACATATTTGTTTATTGAACATCATTCAAATAGTCAAACAATGGAGATACTCTGAGATGCCAATATGGTACACACATATACACACACACATACACACACACACACGCAGAATATTACACATGCATAAAGAAAAATAAAATCATGTAATTTCCAGAAAAATGGATGGAATTAGAAAATATATTGAACAAGACAAGGTAAAAAAAGAAAAGATACTGAGGTTGGTGCAAGTGACTCATGCCTAAAACCCTAGCTATTCAGGATACTCAGGAGGCTGAGATCTGAGGATTGAAGTTCAAGGCCAGCTCACAGACAAATCTGCCAGGCTCTTATCTCCAGTTAACTAATCAAAAACTAGAAGTAGAGGTATGGCTCAAGTGGTAGAATACCAACCATAAACTTTCTTTACTTAATTCTAAAACATTCATGAGCGTTGTAAATCCCTCTTCCCCTCAAAGTTTTGGGATATTGGGGGTAAATGTGCACAGAGTGCTATGTTGCCTTACCTAATGCAACAGTGCAATCAAATCCTAGATGCACATCTCTCACATCGCTCTTTATTATGAAGGAGTAGCCATGTACATATGAATATACAAGTAATATAAAATCTTTTTAACTTAATCTGACCATACTTTTATAGAACAAAGGTATTTAGACCCTTTCTTCTTCGTTTTTTTTACATAGTTATTTCATTATTATTGTTCTTGTTATTATTATTGGTAAAACCAGGACTTGAACTCGGTTCTGTGCTGGCTAAGAGGTACTCTACCACCTGAGCCACATCCCCAGATTGTTTTTGCTTTATTTTTCAGATAAGGGCTTTTTCAAAAATTGTTACAATAAAGGTGATGTACAGAGGGGTTACAGTTACGTAAGTCAGGTAATGAGTACATTTCTTTGGAAATGTACTATCAGGGCTATCCTCTGATGAAAATCATCCTAACTTTCCTCCCAAGTAGCTAGCATAAAAGATGTATACCACTACGCTTGGCTTATTGGCTAAGATGGGAAGTCTCACCAACTTTTTGCCAGGGCTGTCTTTGAGCCATAATCCTTCCAGTTTCTGTCTACCAAGTAGTCTACCATTTCTGGCTCAGATCTTTTCAATATATTTTTGTGGTGACGATGAAAGTTGATCTAACATAACAATAAATACAATAAATTGTATGAGGTGAATATCAGAATATTTAGATAAAAAGAGCTTAAGGGAATATTGCAATTTAACATATCATGTGGTTACAAGTAGAGTACAGAACATTAAAATAATATTTAAGAGACTAGGCTATTTATGGGTTTTAATAGTCTCTCTTGTATGTCGTTTCCAAGTTGGCAACAGCAAAACCATGGCAACAGGAAATTCTTTCCTGCAGTGGAGTTTATGAATGCTTTTCTGTTTTCATGACTCAACTCCTTATTTAATTTCCTGTACAAAAAAACTAGGAGAGATTACTATAGACTGCAATACAGATGTGCAAATCCAGAGACCCTCTCACAGGAAAACAGGTCACAGGTGTCTATGCAACAATTTTGAAATAAAATTTAAAATTACTTCCATGCAGACAAGCAGCAGAAACCAATGAACTTGAACAAAAATAGATATGAGAATTCAACTATTTTATCTACAACTTAAAGTATATGAGTGGACACCCTTTCTAGATTTATGTATCATAAATAGATAGTTTCATTACTGCACCTATAATCAATACAATTTATGGAGCCAAAGTAATATCAAAGCCAAAAACCAAATTCTCTTAGAGATTAAGATGGAATGTGGATAATAATGGAAAGAAAGAATTGTTAAAAAAAAACAAACCTCCTAGGCATTAAAAGAATACAAAAGAAAACCATAGGAAGGCTGACTATATAGACCAATATGAGGATTAGCAAATGAATAACAGTAAAACCTTCTAGGGCTTACAATCAAATTATAAGTTTCTAGAGATTTTAACTACCCTATCATTCTGCTAAGTATAATACAATTAATACATTGCTATCCTGAAGCAACTCTGTAGGATCTGCATCCACTGCCCTGTGTTTATTGTCTACCCACACCTCTTCTCAGAGAGCAGTCCAACTCTGGCGACTCTGATTATGAACCCAAGTATTCTAGTAGTATATCCTCTCTCTCTGGCTCTGTATCTCTATAGCTAATAGTTCGCTTCAATAAATGGTAGTGTTTTATGGATAGCTTAGCAGATAGATCTGCATCAGCCCAACAGGAGCAACACAAGCATAACAGGATATGTTTTCTTTACTTTTGGTATCAAGTTGTGCACGATACTTCTCAAATCCTTTTAGCCGAACTCTTTCTCCCAACAGTTGAAGGAATTCTTCAAAGGCTGGGCCTGCTGATTCATTGTTGTACATCTCTTCTTCAGTACTCTGGCCAGCTTTGCAGTACATGATGCCTACTTTCTGCTGATAGTTCAGCTGTGGAGACAGGCAAATACAATGTACATGAAAATACTGACAGACACACTCTGTCCCACTTCAATGCTAGTAAGTTCTTGTAAGGTATATGCACAGCCAATAGCTAACATCCTTCTATTTAAGTCCCTTTACTTTAAGTCTCCTGTCTTTGACCCAAAACTTACAATGGAGAAAACATCTATAATCTTCATGAATTACAGAAAAAGACCAGCTGGGCATCAGTAGCTCATGCCTGTAATCCTAACTGCTCAGGAGGCTGAGATCTGAGGATCACGGTTCCAAGCCAGCCCAGGCAGAAAAGTCCCCATGAGACTCTTATCTATAATTAGCCACTCAAAAGCTGTAAGTAAGTGGTGCTGTGGCTCAAGTGGTAGAGTGTTAGCCTTGAGCATAAAGCAGCTCAGGGATAGCACCCAGGCTGAGTGCAAGCCCCACAACCAACAATTAAAAAAAAAAAAATATATATATATATATATGAAAGAAAGAAAAGAAAAAGGCCAGAAAAAGTAAGTTATAAGCCCTGTTGATACTTCAGAAAATTTCTTTTAATGGGTCACAAAGTACTTCCTCACTTTGTGAGGCAGTAAGAAATGGTCTGGCAATAGTTTCCTCGTTGAAAGTGAAGCCTTTGCAAATTTAAAAGCAGAGATCCACTTTACAAAACATTTTAAAATAAATTGTTTCACATTGCAAAGTCCATTCGAATCCTTGCTCTTTTTCTTATAAAATTACACTTGTCATGATTAAGATGTAGACTTAACAACTTCATGTGCCCAATTAAATTATGAACGTGGTTATATCTTTGTTAGAGTGCTAGCTAGCATCATCAACAATGTACTTAGAGAAACTTCTTTCTCAAATATTTTTCTCCAAGTGGAGAATGTGGCATAGTGGTAGAGTGCTTGCTTAGCATGCATTAAGTCCTGGGTTTGATTCCTCAGTACCACATAAACAGAAAAAGCCAGAAGTGGTGCTGTGGTTCAAGTGGAAAAGTGCTAGCCTTGAGGAAAAGAAGCTCAGGGACAGTGCCCAAGCCCTGAGTTCAAGCCCAGGACTGGCAAACAAACAAACAAATAAAGAATAAAAAAAAATTCTCCATGGAAAGTACCTGGAAAGAAACGTTAAGAGGTGCCTCACAATGGCAATTTAACTTGTGACAAATACTCTTTCCTCAACTACAGTTAAAGCATTCAAGTGCTGATTCACACACATCATCACAACTACTCAAGAGGCAAAGATAGGGAGGTTAACAGTTCAAGGTCAAAAAATTAATACAAAGCCATCTCAATAAAAGAGCTGGGCATTGTGGTTCAGAGCTATGATTCTAGCTAGATAGGAGGCATAAACTGAAGGATTGTGATTCAGATTAGGCTGAGTAAAAAAAATTTAGAGTTTACCTAAGAAGCATAAAGGTGTGGCTCAAGTGGTAGGGCATCTTCCTAGCAAGCACAAGGCTCTAAACCTCAACCCAAAGCAATGACAAATAAGTAAATAGTAAGTAAATAAGAAATAGCCAAGAGTTTTAAATATAACACTAATCAAAACATCTGTTCAAAAATATTCCCCTAAAAGAAGTGACAGGTATTCAATTAATAATAAACAAAATACTAGCACCTATTTCATGGTTGTTTAGTGAACTATGCGCATCTCCCTGGTAGATCATGAATACATTAGCGCTCACAGATAGATGAATAGATATTAAAAATGATTCATCATTGAAAAGTCTAGTAATTTTGCAAAGTTTAAGGAGACATTGGTCATCAAACAAGAAATAAGTCTGCAATATAAAAATTTAGGCTCTTAAAACTCCCACAGCATTAGGAAAATTCTTTGTACATAATATTTTTTTTCCAGAATGGCACTGTACCTAATTATTAAGTTTTTGTGTAATAGAAACATATTAAGGATGTAGCTCACTGGTAGAGAATTTTCTAGCATTCACAAGGACCTAGGATCCTCAGCAGAGAGAGGGGACAGGGGAGAAGACAGGTGAAATTATATTACTATTTTAAAGTGAAAGAATCTGGCTATACTTCCAAGCTGGACCGAAACTCTTGAGTTCAAGTAATCTTCCTGCCTGGGTCTCCTGAGAAGCTGTAGCTACAGATAGGTGCTTCTATGCCTGGAGAGGTGAAATTTTAACAACTAATAGTATTACAGATCTTACCATTTGATCCACAAGTATATGGAAGGTCAGAGAATGGAAGATAACTTATTTAGGAAGGAGGAGCACAAGCTCACTATTGTAGTAGTCCCATGATATGGTCCAAGAATACTATTAAGAGTCAATCAGCCTTGTCTAACTCTATTTCTATCAATACACACATAGGCCCACAATCTCACACTTGCAATTCTGAGGTTGAAAGGTAAGATTCAAAATCTAAGCAAATACATTTGCGGCAAAATTGGATATGAGACTGACATTAGCACATTAATTTATTCTTTGTGCGAATATTCATATTGCTTCCTGCATAAATATTAATGTGTTTGATTATGGGGTGTTGTCCCAGATCCCACAGGGAATATATTAATATATGGTGCATGCATTTCATTACTCTTCTAGAAATGTGAACTTTTCTGAATTCCGAAACACACTCAGTTTCTTCCATTTTACACTGAGGGACTGTGGACCTGAACTTTCTCTTTTTTTGGGAGGGGGGTCTGGTCGTGGGGCCTGAACTCTGGACCTGGGCGCTGTCCCGCAGCTCTTCAGCTCAAGGCTAGAGCTCTACCACTTGAGCTACAGCGCCACTTCCGGCTTTTTTCTTTTTGCTTATGTGGTGCTGAGGAATCGAA